GAGAGAGAGAGAGAGAGAGAGAGAGAGAGAGAGAGAGAGAGAGAGAGAGAGAGAGAGAGAGAGAGAGAGAGAGATGCGCAACTTTCAAGGTCGGCCCGCTAGAGGTTGATTGCTGTTGTGGTTGTGATCGGTCTCCAACTGTTGGAGGACGTCGGGCGGACTTTGAAGTTCCTTGGGCGGTGCCAAGGATCAGGTCTGTCAGCGCCAATGACGGGCTTTAATCATCTCGCAAGTTGGCGCTGAGACAGCCAGATTTGGCTATTGTGCCAGGGATATCGCAGTGTTTGCTCCTCATTCTTTCGGCGGATGTTATGGAGAGGCAGTCACCACACTGGTGGGTTATGCGTCTCGCTCCTGCATTGTGGAAGAACCTGCAAATCAGTGATGACACACACACTGCATGTGGCTTCTGAGGATGCGGCGCAATACGTCTGACCTGCTGCTCAATGTGCCCCGTCCGCTGTGTCACACAATTTAGTCGCCCATTGGATCCTGCACAAATCTTGGCATATGTGATACACCAATGGGCGCATGGGGACAACTACTTGCATTGCAGTGCCGCGTTCGGCATGGGGAAGACAAGCGGGATTCGAGTTGTCCGTGATGTTACTCGTGCCTCCCACGATCTCCTTCGGAGATCATGCGGAAAAAAAAAGGACTATGGAGGTGTATGCAGACAAAGGCTTCCCCAACTGTTGGGGATGCATAGACTGCACCCACTTGTACGTAGATAAGCCGAAGAATAGGAATGTGGACGACTACTGTTCTGGTCGGACAAAGCGCTTTTCTATAGTAGCTCAAATTGTTTTCGACGAGGAGCTGCGTGTCTTGGATCTCAATATGGGGTTTCTAGGGATGGTGCATGACGCACGCGTTCTCATAAATTCGTCTTTGTACAGGCGAGCAAAGAGTGGGTAGTTGTTCTGCAATGATGGGAGTGATCCGTTTCAAGCCCGTTGGCCAGCAGTTGCAGGTGTCACACGTGGCTATCTTTTGGGCAATGGCAGTTCCCCAACTCTGCCTTGGATTGTCACTCCATATGGGCGACCTAATGCGTCGTGCCATTGCACGATTCGATGACAATCCCAAGATTGCGAGAACAAATGCAGAAAGGGGGAATGGTCATGTCCAGCTCCGCTGGCAGATGTTTCACAAACCTCATATCAGCCACTTGGACACTTTGTCCGAATAGTTTTGAGTGGTTTGTATCCTACACAATCTGTTGCTCGACTGGGGTGATCGAGTGGATGATGTCATTTTGCGTCAATGGGCTTAAGGACTGCCCCTTCCGCCTCCGCCGCCCCCTCCACCCCAACCTCCCATGGCGCACATGACATCTGCTGAAAGGCATGCAGTCGGGCTGTTTTTGCGTGGTGCACTTTGTCAGCACGTTAATTCTAGGAGGTGGTAGGCAGTTGACCATATGCTTAGATAGGGTGTGTGTCAGGTCGGGGTGGTGCGGAGGGGGGAGCAGGACGGGGTGTACTTGGGGGGTGCTGATTTTTTTTGGGGGGCGAGGCGGGTGAGGGGGGGGGGTAAATATGGGTACTCAAGTGCACTCATTGATGCTGAATGAGAGTTTACATTTGAACGCCCATAAATGACCCTGGGCGGTGGATAGGCCGCTACTCATCGTTCCCTGACTCGGATGCAGATATCCATGGATCACAAGGTCGTACATGTGAAAAAGGTGGTTTCACGAAGAGAGAGAGAGAGAGAGAGAGAGAGAGAGAGAGAGAGAGAGAGAGAGAGAGAGAGAGAGAGAGAG